TTTGGGGTCAAAATTAGAATATCTACATTATATTATCCGTTGTCTGAGAAAAATTCACGAAGAGAAACTTGTGCGTGACTTTCACCCTGCAAATATATTATTGCATATTGATGCTTTCCTGCCCAGCAGATATAGAAAAATCAAACCAAGAAATTTACAGAGTACTACCTTATATGAGTCCGAGACGTCAAATGGAAATTATACACTTATCTGTGGATATTTAGTTTGGGGATGATTACATACGAGGTTGCCACAGGTGAACGAAGTCATTACACACCTTGTATGTGACATCTTTAATGGAGTACGATTATACCAAATAGATAATGTTTACTGTATGATGCAAATTTATTATTGAAAAGTGTTGGGATCCTATTCCAGAAAACAAACCAACTGCTGAAGAAGTTTGCGACTTTATCTGGTCTATCAATAAAACGGACGAGTTCATTCAATTGGGGAGGAAACTGAATACTTTGTATTTTCAGTACTTCAGTTCTTTTGAACGCATGAAGAAATTAAAGAGTGTCTTAAACTAGAAAAGCAGAACTTGATGAGGAGATGAAACAAGAAATACATCCAAATGCAGTTTACACTAGTCGAGCCTTTACTATAAAATTAATTTTTAATACAGGTATTTGTTTTCTTTTTAATATAAATCGAATGTTTAGGGTTGGGTTGATAAGTGTCGGTTTGTTTGTCCAAAACGAAGGTAAAATTGCTCGCTTTACTGTTTTGTTGACTTCATTAATTCATTCCTATTTTTCTTTTGGATTGCAAAACAGATTTAGATGAAATTAATGAGAATGAAGATATATCGAGTTTCTTTCAAGAACAACTGCAACTTCATGATGAAAATTTTCCAATATCACGCTCTTTATTAAATGAAACTGACTGGTAAGCATTAATTTATATACATTGTAAATGCACGTTCGCAACGACGACCTCACTCTATACATAATCACAGCACAGTCATTCTCTAGGCGGCTGTCTTGGCTATTTGTCTGTCGTTAACATATTTAATCTATTTATATACAGATATATATCGATATGTACTATCAACTATTCTTTTAAACCCAAGCCGTTTACAACAATATCTAAGATGCCGATAGACGACGATAATTCTAATCAGACGAGCTCTAAGCAAGTTGCCTTCCAATATGAATGTAGCTCCAACTAGGTAAGTCTTTCGTATTGAAGCTAGTTGTTTTTCAACAATCAGTTGAAAATATATTGTTTATTCATAATATTAAAGAGTCGATATCAAAAATCGTTTGCAAATCGCGACATTGAACTGCCAAGAAATGGATGGAAAGTTCATGTAAGTTGGAATTTATCATAATTTTATTTCTTATTCGTTTTTCTCTTAATACAACAACAATATAAAACTCGAAGTTAATATTACAACCAGGAATGAAAGAATATAAATAAACCAAAGACTAACGCTAACAATTATTTACAATAAATTTAATCATGGATCAAATTATCGTATAGTATGAAATCTTCCCCCCCCCCCACGAATTATGCGCTAAGTTTTGCCAAATCTTTTGGCCCAATACTAGATCTTTCGGTCGCTTCGCCAAAACTAGTTGGCCACTAGTACTAGAGCGAATCATAGTAGTAGGATAGGATCAAGAACTGTTTACAAAGAAAACGGAGTACATATAGTGACTCGTAACTAGGTTCACTTTCGGGGAGTGATAACAGAACGATGACCTACGGATCCATTGATTGGAAGAAGTGGGAGGCAATGTAACCCTGCAAGGTCAGAAGCCCGTCGGCTGTTTTTTCTGACACCTGTACAAGTATAAAAGTTGGTGTTGAACAACCTTACTCACCTAACCAAAACCTCGTCAGGAACTGGTTGGTTAGGATATACCGTCAGGATACTGTACAGATACAAAAGTCACAAAAACCTGTCGCTTCACCCCTCGCGATAGGAAATCCATTTTATATAATTTTATAAAAAATATTGAAATTGTGGGATTATTGAAATTCAACCAATCGAATTTTGTCGCAACGTAACGAAATTGTGGGTTTTAAGATCGTCATCCAATCGAATTTGTCGTGACATAATATGTAAAGATACTATATTTAGATTACATATGTGAGAATTTTCGTCGAAATGTTTGGGTTTATTTTTAGGTGGGAACTTTTTTATTCCAATAATTATTGTTATCGGATATGTAGAGAATGATGTCGTCAAATGTGTTGATCATCGATATCTAAAACCGATTAAAAACCAGTTTTATTAACAATTAATCCGGTTCTAAATTCTAGAGTCGATGGTGATTTGAGACCTTGAAGGGTTGAATCACGATTACGATCTCTCAAACGTTATCAATTAAAGAAAAATCGCCTTTACACAAACGAACATACAAACGAACATACAAACATACAAACGAACATACAAACGAGTTTTCAAATTCTGAAAAATGTTTTGTGCTCTCAGAATGTCTCTGCAACATAGCAACGCTATTTTTTACAAACCTTTATTAAATTTATTGACATTGGTGTGCTTGCATATTACCGAATTGGACCCGCATATTATTAATTATATTGTTTCAAGAAACCCTATCGCTACATAACAACTACAATACACGAAAACGGATCTATGAAGGTAAAGCTATTCTTTTAACACAAAAATAACATCCCACACATATAATAATCATTATTATCTCGTTTATTTTACCAATATTTCAAAGTTTTAATAAAACACAGCACATAATCAATAAAATAATTTTATAAATAGTGACGGAAATCTGTCTCATGAGAACACCACCTTTCATTCTTCAAAGAAAAAGGTTTTCTGTGCAAGTGTTTTATTTAAAAGCCGAATTCCGAACAGTACTAAAAAATGGACGAATCGAATAAAAATTAAACGAAAACCTATCTTTTACATGAATAATAAACATAAAAAATAAACGAATCGAAAAATTGCTTTAATTATCATTATTGTTATTAAATTTTTCTCTAAGTTCTGAAAAATCAAAAAATCGGCTTGTGTAAAATGCATTTTTATTTTGAATTTCTTGTGATGTGTTTTTCTGTATTTGAAAACTTCCACATCTTCTTTCTTCAGCATCATTAAACTCCTCACTGATCCCAGTTGGTGCTGGATTGTCACATATATCGGTTATCCAATCGCTAAATATTTCATTCAACTCGATTGCTGTTGGTCTTTGTTTTGGATCAAATGCCCAACATCTTTTCATCAAATCAGAAAAACATTTTGGAGTGTTTTCAATTTCCTTTGGTCTGACTCCATTACAAATATCCATTGCTAATGTGATGTCATGCGCTCTCTCAGCAAATGGCTTTTGTTCAGCGGCAAGTGACCACATAATAACGCCGAAACTATAAATATCAGCCTCTTTTGACTGATTCTCTCCAAGAAGAATTTCTGGTGCAATATATGGAATAACACCATACAATTTATTATTATTATATGGGATATCAACTGATCCGTTAATCCCTATATCAGCTATTCTTCCCTCAGTCGAGATTGATTCATCTTCGATCATTATATTTCCACCGTGTAAATTTCCATGATAGAAATTATATCGATGAATGTTTTCCAAACCAGCAGTAATCCCCCATAATAAATCGATTTTATCTTTCCAGCTAATATCATTAACATTTTTAATGTATTGATTTAAATCGCCATTTTCATAGAATCTCATTACAAATACAAAAAATCCGTCTGGAGCTTTTGAAATACCAAAGGTATCTGCTACACTGCCAGATTGAAGACAATGATGATATTTTTGTAACTAATATAAAAAGGAAACATTTTATTAATTATTCTTGAAATTTGTTTTTATCAAATGAGAAATAAAATTTACGTTTTTCAAGAATTGGTTGTTCAAGTTTTGAGAATGTATAAGTTTTTTCAGCGCGACTTTTATTGGTCCACCCCGTGACCAAGCTTGTGTGTTTTCGTTCCAATCCCACTTAGGTCCCTCCAACCAAATAGCAGAATAGATTTCACTAAATGCTCCAGCTTTGTGCAATTCAACCAGTTCAAATTGATCATAAGGAATATATTCAAGATAATCGCCGCTTATATTCGCCTCAGATTGGCTTTTTTGTATAATTAAATCAAGTTGCAAATTGCCAGTTGTCCATCTTGAATAGTTTTCCTTAAACCAAGTCGTTTCACAAGATTGGCACCACGCAAAATTTGTTCTAAAGTTTTGACAATCATAACATTTTTTATAATTTGTGTTTCAGGATCCAATTGAAGTGAGAGTGGGTCCAATTCATCGCTGCTTTCTTCGTTGATTTCTTCGTCGATTGAATATCTATTTTCAGTGTAAGGCATTTTTCAAATAAAGAAAAAACGGTAAATTTCATATATACAGTAATGCATCACTGAAACGAAAAAATAAAAGTCAATTTAATAATATAAACACTAGACATATGAAATTCAACACATATTAATATAGTTAAAAGCATAAATAAACTCACGTAATTTAAATCATAAATGTAACACCACTTTGTTTATTTGGTCTTTATTTACGTCAAACCAGCAATGCATTTCTTTTGATCGTTCCAGCCTCAAAAAAAACACAACAAAACAATACACACACCCTATATATAAGAATATACTCTTTTATCCAAAACCAGGTCGTCCTAGAATTTTTACTGGTCGCGACGAATGAAATATCATATGTCTAATTTCGAATGGTGATTGTTCTATGCAGCTTAAAAAAACTGAAATATGAAGACAAAATCGAAGTCAGCGCAAGCACAATAAAGCGAACTTTATATCGTAATGGTCTTTCTTCACGAATTAAGCGAAAGAAACCATATCTTAAGAAAACACATCGAATTCAACGTTTGAATTTCGCAGAAAAACATCAACAGTGGACTGGAGCAAAGTTATCTGGTCTGACGAATCAAAAGTTATGATTTTTAATTCTGATGGACGTGAATACTACTGGAAATGTGATAATTAACCACTAAGAGCACCATGTGAACCTACAGTAAAATTTGGGGTTACTTTTCATCTTTTAGGAACAATCAGGTGGTATGATATTAATAAGATGATATTGTTTTTCAACAAGACAATGATCCAAAACACACGGCAAAATCTACATATCGATATAAATGGTTGCTGATAATGAAATTCGTATACTTGATTGGTCTCCCCGATCACCAGATCTTAACCCAATCGAGCATCTCAGGTAATTTGAATTTTTGTAATCAAAAAAACGGATCACTTAATTTGATGTAAAAATGGAGTATTTTTATTTTTTTTAAGTTATTGATGAAAAATAAAGTAAATATACTAATTCTTTTATATTTGGTGACTAAATAAGCCTAGTTATATATTGTTTAACGTTGTGTGCGAGAAGTTATTGCGTCGCAAAATTTATCTTTCAAGTGATGCATTACTTTTGTGCGTCACCGTACATATATTGATATCTGTCATATTCCTTTTGAAGATTTAACCAAACAGTGACTCACTAATAGAACACCGAAAAATGGTGAGATTTGAAGATTCGTTTAAATAGTTATTATCACTTGATGCAATTTTTATTTTCATCGATCTATTGCTTCGCAGACAAATAACTTTTTTAACTTTTTTTAATGTTCCATTTAATATGACTGACTTGGATAGAAAACAGAAACTTATAAAGATACAGTGGCTCACATTTGAAAGTTGTACATGGAAAAAAGGATGAGATTCAAATATCTCGCCATTGAAGTATTGTCCACATTTGGAAACAATTAAATTACATTTTATCATTAGCGACAGTTTTTATTTTTCAACAAAAAAATTTTTAATTTTTTTTGTGTATGATATAATATGACCAAATTCGTCAATGAAAACAAAGAAAAACCCAGAAACCTCGAAGATAAACCGGAACAGAAATAAACCAAACACACGTTCTCATTAAAAATGGAATGTTATCCAATTAATATCATATGGAAAATGCACTACTGTCATCCTCAAAACTGAACTGGAAATCGAAGAAATAGCAAATTAAGCGAAAAAAAAGAATGACCAATGACTGGCGGAAAATAATTTTGTCCGATAAAAGCAAGTGGTAATCCATGTACGTACGTACATGGATTGCATCACTGCTTTGTTCTATGCAGTTTTACATTAATTTATGTCGATCATCGTATAAGAACACCCTAGCGCTAGGTCACACAGGTTCTGCAAATTCTATACATAGCGGTAGTGCGCACAATCTAAAGCCATCAAATACTTTATAAGATTTGTATCCAAATACTTTAATCACGAAAAAAATTTACATTGTTAAATATCTTTTGATAAGAACTATAATTTAATGTACAATATAATATTAATTTAATGAGCCGTTATAATTTTTAGGAAGCCACTTTAATAGAAATGATCCTGTATCACATGAACAATTTCTGATTGGTTGAATTACTTCATGCAAAAATACATGATTGGTTTTCTCATGTTTTCACATAGAAACATGATTCATATTATATGTATATTCTAAATACAACATTTTCATTGGCTTCATGTGACTCATACATGCATTTCAAATTTCAGCATTTGATGGCTTTAGACTGCGCGCACCATACAAGTGCAGTAAACTGGACAGCTAGCGCTAGATGCATGTATGATAAATGCAAAAGTAATAACTATAACTCCTAATTTGCACTTGCAACTGTTTGTGGCTTATTTAAGGATTTTACCATATATGGATACCAATTAGGCGTACAGCAAATCATAACGATAAATAGAAGTACAGAACGTACGTTCGTAGTTGGAAAATTCTGATGTTCGATATTCTACATAATAGATTCAATTTTGCCGCCATTGATAGGAGGTTTGTAATATCGACGGCAACGGAAACGGAAACCGTGCAGTCAGCCTTAGTTGCAGATGTTATTACAGAGATCCTCGAAAATCTGAGTGCCCGTGATTTACTTTCGGCACTTCTAGTTAGCCGAGAATGGTGCCAAGTCGCTGTTCCAATGTATTGGAAAGCTCCATTCAGTTATACAAAGAAAAGGAGTATGGCCGCACTAAAGATTTACGAATTGTTTCTTGAACGAGGAAGCAGTACACTTCTAGGAACGAAAGAAGATTCTACACGGGGTGCAGTTCAAGAGACGCCGCTTTATGATTATCCGTTGTTTCTCAAAGAACTCAATTATACAAACTTACTAGAATTAGGAGAAAGTGTTGAAGCAATACTTCAAATACTTCAAATGCTAACAAATCGTGGAATTCGTCTGAACACTTTTGTTATGGATAATACCGGTACAAATAGTGAAATATTTTATGGAATATGGACAGCACCACGCTATGCCCCTATATTCAGTTCCCTCATTCACGTTGAAATACACACGCCTTTTTTAAAAAATAATGTCATGAAGACATTAGCAAACAATTGCACCAGGCTGGTATGTTTATATTTCTAAACTTTGTGAATTGAAATTTTGTTTTGAATGCTGAGGTTGTTTGGCAACGCCTTTTCAGAAATAAATTTCATTTTTTTTATATTTGATATTAATCTACACCTTCATAGTGCATCTAATACTCACAGTAAATATTCTGAATCATTTCCTCCAGTCTCATCTTGATATCAATCTTTACGATAACTCTTCTAACCGTGTTATAGAAACGTTCTATTATCTTAAGAAACTCTTATCTCTTCAGCAATGCCCTTTGAATCTTCGATTGGTGTTTCCAAACGGACCTGGAAAAATGCTAATGAACACATTGCAGTCCCAGCAGCTTGAATCCTTTAAACGTCTTGAGCTCGTAAAGTGGAACTTCAACGGGTGTGAATGGAGATGGTTGAAAATGTGTCCAAATTTGACCGAATTCGCAATCACAAGCCCACCCCAAACTCAAGTCTCTGACATTTTGGGCACTATATACGAAAATTATCGTTTGAAACTATCGAAAAATTATAAGATTACAACTGCACATTGGCATTTTGACAAAGACGACGGAGTCTCTTCAATGTCCAGCTTTTACTTTCACCAAGCTAAACCATTAATGGAGCCATATTATGATACTTAATTGTATTAGAAAACAAAATGTATGCTTGCAATTTACAAATTATTCATTTTACCTCGTTTTTCAACTCTAATGTAATTTCTTTGTATCGTGTAATAATTTCAACACAACTTCGCATTTATATTTGTCAGATCGTTAAATTTTCTTCTCTCCGTTGTAATCATGCAACAATTCTTTATAAATTTGATCCAACATTGGTAAAGCTTTCAAATGGGATCCATTCGTAGACCTAAATTTTTGGTATCCTTTTATTAGACTTCATTTTGCTATGGTGCATAACATCTAACGTTTGTATAGAATGTATAAACTTAACTAAGAAGTAAATTCCAAATTTAATCCGATAGAATATAAACGTTTGATGTTATGCACCATAGAACTGTGATTTGATTCCATTAAAAAGTTAATAATTTATCAAGCTATGTATATATCTAAATTTTCTTATAATAAACTTAAAATGAAAGGACAGTTTTGATTGGAAAGTAAAAAAATTTCCCATGCTTTATATATAAAAATTGGAAAATTCAAGTTACGTATATTTATATTAGTAATAATTTTTAAGCTAATAAAAGAACTACTACATGTATATATAACGATAATTTTGAATCGCGGGGGGACTGTTCATGAATGTACCTGATTTAGAAATAAATGTTTGGTACAATGTACGTACGTATGTACATGTATTTTCTAAAAATAATTGAACACGTACGTAGCTCTATTGAATTACTTAATTTCAGATTGCTTTGAGTTTGTTCTGTCTCTAAGACCAACTGATATTGCTTTTGTGACTACTTAATAACATAATAATGCGAACTGTGCATAGGAGAAATAAAGCGGCAAGCCATTTCAATCTTGATGTACGTAGTATGGTTTGAAGTTGGGTTAAAATTTAAGTTGGAAAACAATAACAGGTTACCGAAAAGTTTTATCACGAAGCTGATTTATTGGACGTGGTGCTTCTTTTTAGTTATAAAAATGTGGTGATGAACAGAACGCCTACAATTAAACCTATATATTCCTAATCAAACATCACATTCTGATCATACCCAATAAGGAAATATACGTGTTCTGCAAGGATCATGAAGGTCCCAGGGGGTAGGTCCCAGCGCCGGCATAAACCGG